GAAATTTAATTTTTAATCTGCTAACCAGAATGCTTTGAAATGTTGCAGATGTTTTAAGGCTATAAAGAGCATCATAAATCTTTAGTCAAAAAATATTTGCTTATCCCCTCCAAAAACTTGATGACGTCAGCTCAAAAGTTTGTGGAATAAATCATATCTAAAATGTACAAAATATGATGAGTCTGTACTTGTGATCTATCACTCCATTCATATTTTTTGGATTTGCATATACAGGGTGACTCAAAAAAATTAATGAATGCGTAAATATATTTTATTGATTTAATCAGGAACTACAAAACCGAATGCTCTGAAATCTTGCAGATGTTTTAAGGTCATAAAGAGCATAATAAATGTTTAGTTAAAATATATTTGCTTACCCCCTCCAAAAACTTGATGACGTCAGCTCGAAAGTTTGCCGAATAAATCATATCTAAAATGTACAAAATATGATGAGCCTGTACTTGTCCTTTATCACTCCATTCATATTTTTTGGATTTGCATATACAGAGTGACTCAAAAAAAAATTAATGAATGCGTAAATATATTTTATTGATTTAATCAGGAACTACAAAACGGAATGCTCTGACATCTTGCAGATGTTTTAAGGTTCTAAATAGCATAATAAATGTTTAGTCAAAATATATTTGCTTATCCCCTCCAAAAACTTGATGACGTCAGCTCGAAAATTTGCCGAATAAATCATATCTAAAATGTACAAAATATGATCAGTCTGTACTTGTGATCTATCACTTCATTCATATTTTTTGGATTTGCATATACAGGGTGATTCAAGAAAATAAATGAAAGCGTAAATTTATTTTACTGATTTACTCAGGAACTACAAAACCGAATGCTTCGAAATCTTGAAGATATTTTAAAATTATCATAAGCATGGTAAATTTTTGATCAAAACGCATTTGGTCGTCCCCCCTAAAAAATTTATGATGTCACCACAAAATTTTGCTGAAAAAATCCTATCTAAAATGTACAAAATATGGTGAGTCTCTTCTTGTGATTTATCATTCCATTCAAATTTTTTCGATTTGCATATACAGGGTGACTCAAAAAAATTAATGAATGCTTAAATTTATTTTATTGATTTAATCAGGAACTACAAAACCGAATGCTTTGAAATCTTGCAGATGTTTTAAGGTTATAAAGAGCATAATAAATTTTTAGTCAAAATATATTTGGTTATCTTCTACAAAAAACTGATGACGCCAGCTCAAAAGTTTGCCGAATAAATCGTATCTAAAATGTACAAAATATGATGAGTCTGTACTTGTGATTTATCATTCCAATCATATTTTTGGATTTGCATATGCAGGGTGACTCAAAAAAATTAATGAAGGCGTGAATTTATTTTATCGATTTAATCAGTAATTAGAAAACCGAATGCTTTGAAATCTTGGGAATATTTTAAAGTTATTATAAGCATGGTAAACTTTTGTTCAAAATGTATTTGTTCATCCCTCCTAAAAAAATTGATGACGTCACCCTTAAATTTTGCTGAATAAATCCTATCTAAAATGCAAAAAATATGATGAGTTTGTACTTGTGATTTATCATTCCATTCGTATTTTTTAGATTTTCTTAAGAGGTGGTTCAAAAAAAATTAATGAAGTCAATTTATTTTATTGATTAAATTAAAGGCAACACTTATTATTAGTATTACACCCCAACCAACCCAATTTGGTAGACACAAAATTTGTTAAAGGAAAAACTCGGTTGAAACATAAGGATAGCACGCTTATTTACATCGACTTTAACATTACAGACCTGCATTTGTTTTATGCGCTCACTTGGTTCCGCGAATGTGAAATAGACATGTTTATAATCAACCAATTCTGAATTTCACCGTCAAGAATTAAAATAAAACCCAATGTTTTATATAATAAGCGGAAGTCGAAGCAATAAAACCGATGGTCGTTTTGTTTACAGTTTCTCTGTTTGGCTCTCACGTATGCTGTTACGCTTGTCATCTTAAATTAAGAATGTTTATACATAAACGATTTTCAGTTGCCGTATACGTGAGTAAATTGTTTCGTTATTTTATTGATTATAAAAAATCAATATTCAAAACGACCCAATTCATTTTTCCGAAAATTTGGGAATACAATAATTTTATTCTTAGTATTACACTACATCTATCCCAACTGATATACGTGTCCTTGCAAAAATGTTGATGACGTCATCGCAATTTTAAATTCCCACTACAAAAATGTAATGAGAAAAAAACACAATAGCCATGCAGTCGTCAAGTTTCCGACAGCGAGGGAAGTACTGTCTAAACTCTTTAGACCAATTTTTTTCAGTAGTTATTAGTTGAGTTATACTAGTAGCAATTTTTGATAATTCATGTTGGTGATTTTTGTCACATAAACAAAAATGGATGTAAGAGGTCCACTAACAGTGTTCTGTCATGGAAATTTTCATATTTTAAATATCATCATTTCCTACATTGTAGCCTTCAGTACTTATACATCTTTAAATATAATCCTGAGGGGTAATAAATCTAAGCCATGGTAAGATGGTATTTTAAAAACCATAAACCACAATTCACTATTCACTGCGCTTTACGCTTGCCGGGGCAATGTATTTTATCTGTATACCTGAGCAACCCGGGTCCGGTAGGCCCGCTGGTTGTATTTGTGTTATTAAATAAGAGTTATTTTAATAGTAAAAATATTTGTTTAAGGTATGTTATTATATTTAAAAAATAATAATTGCGTGTTACAAAATGATTAATTTTTTCAATTAGCACAAATTAGTTCTGTAATCGACTAATCGAATGTTCAATACATATATTTCTCTCGCATAAGTCGCATATTTGTTACTGTTTTATACCTTTATTTTTCAGATAAATGTAGCATCTTTTTCTGTTGCCACATGTGTCATTTCTTCACTTTTTCATTGTTGGACCTAACGCGAGGCGGGCTTGGCAGGTCCATTTTGCCCTAGAATGTGCCGATTATGTTCAAGTGTAAATCTTGGGCAATAAAATTAATATTTTTACAACCCTCGGTAGAATAATTTATCGTGATATATTCTCAGAAATCGTGAAACGAGATTAAAATAAAATGAGTTTTAACAAAAATCTGAAAATTTAAAGTTGGATCCTGGTGATTCCGGCCTGCCAGGCAGCCTTTGATTCTATAATAAGTGGTTTAAATACCTTTCTAAGAAATTGTACTTATTTTGCCTTAAACGGAACCAGCAATTCTTCCTAAAATGTATATACCTGCCGCACCGGGATAGACGATTACCGGACATGGTCATAAAAACATCGTAAGCCGATATTGAAGAATAATAATAATTTATGACAGGTTGCCGACAACAGACCTTCAGCACAGAATAATCATTTCCCGTATTCTTTTGAAATATTAATTTTAATGCTGGAGATCATTATTAGATATACTTAAACACAATTTGGATACTGTAGTATGGGAATAAAAACAAAAAAATATTCTTTCTAAGCGTACGTAATAAATATTGCACAATTTGCGACACATCAAACAGCGAAGCGATGGCCTATTTGCAGGAAAAAAGAAAAGATTTTTCAGTCTTAAATAACTATGCTACAGTAAAATGTTTATTTTTTAAATTTAATACCACAATCCCTTCTTCTGCACCTGTAGTACGGGTGTTTAGTAGCGGAAACCAAATTCTGACACCAAGAAGAAATAATTTAGGTGACAATACGTTCGAAATGTTGTTAATTTTAAAAAATTCATTAAACAATACATAAAAAATACATAAACATGTTTTTAGTTATTTTGTTCGCCAAAGCTTCAAAAAGTATCTGTTTTCTTGTATCTGTATCTAGATACATTTCGAAAAAATCGAAAACAATCTGTATCTAGATACTTTTATCTTCCATATATCTATATCTGTATCTAGATACTTTTAAAAGTATCTGTCCCCAACACTGCTTACACCTTCTGTCAGTTTCATCCATTCAAAAATTATTCTCTTTCTCTTCATTTCCACACCTAAATCTCGCCAGTAGTTCTTCACATCACTTTTTTGTCCCTTTTTAAATAATGGGATTATTATACCTTCTTTTCCCATATCCTTTCTTTCACTCCTTCTGTTCCGAACATCCACGCTTCGTTCTGGATTCTATCCCCTCCTGGTGCCTTTCCTCTTTTCAGCCTTTCAATGTATCTTCCTATTTCATCTTCTGTTAGTTCCGAACCTCTCCACATTTCTTCCGTCGTTGTGATTCCTTTATTTATTTTGCAGCATTTTTCCTCACAACCTCCTAATAATTCCATAAAGTGTCTTTTCCATTCATGTATTTTGATTTTCCTACTGACTTCAGTCTTCCTTCTCCGTTCCTTTTTTATATATCTTCATACTTCTTCTTTTGTTTTCAGAGACTTTATTGTCTTCCCTTCTTGTTCTTCTCGTTTTTCTCTTTTTCTGTCTTTACATTTTCTCCTGTAATTCTCTCTTGCTTTTAAGTACTCTTATTTCCTTCCCAATAATCAAAGCTGTTTAAAAAACGTAAAATGCCTATGCAGAAATATTCAGGCGCGAACAAATAAAATGAACACCCTCCTGTATATAATATCTGTTACTAGTTCCATTATAGCACAGCATTATAGGCTCTTATTATGGAGGTAGAATTCTACCTCACTGGCTTTTATCACACTGTGGGTTTTATTACAGTGACTCAAATAATTGTCACTGTAGGTTTTATTGGCGAGAATTTTATAAAAGAAAAATATATTTTTGTATATGCAACCAACAATATAATCGAAAGTAGTAATAGTAATGACTGGTGCTGTTAATAATTACGAAATGAATGCATTTATTCCCCGCCCATTCTACCAAATATTTTCGACCTATTTTCCGGTTGGCCTAATTTTATATACGCTTTTTTCGCTTTACAAAATAAAAAATACGTTCCAGATTTTTTTCATCTAATTTCCGATTACGTTCTTCTTTTAAACACAGTTTTGAACACAGTTTTAAATATGTAAGAACTGTTAATTAGGATTGTTGATTGTTTACTTCCAGATCCCTGACCCCCACACGCTCAGAAAAAGTACTCCGCTGATAGAGCGTTCTTTGTCTGTCACATTCACGATATGGTTAGGTTGAAAGTGCAGCGTATTGTCGAACTTTAGCCACTTCCAGTTCCACATTACCACTTTTCGTCTTGCTTTGTTTTCGTTGACAACGACAAGTGACATTACGAAAGTGACATACATCTTCAGAAAAAATTCAGGAGAAGATATCCCTAAAGAAGCAGAAAATGACAGGAATACAAGTATGGATGATATAAAGTTGTGTGTTGGTACGTCAGTGCCCAGTAGTCGCATATTCATGTAGAAAATCTAAATAATTTATCCGTACGATGTTAGCATATTTGTAAGGTTTCAAACAAAATGTATTTTCCAACTGGGTGGCCAAAAGTTATCAGAATACCAAAATTAGGACAGACTTGTATAAAGCAAATAAGTTGTAACAGGGATAGGATTCTTTTTGCAGTTCTAACAGACGATGCTCTAACAATATGGTTTTGCAAAGTAAGTAGAACAGACGTTTTTAGAGATAATAATGATGTGAACTTGTAGCCATGCGTACCTATTGTTTTCTATCGTCGACCTCCGCAATCCTTGGAAAAATTCGGTACAAATATTCTGGCAGAATGGAAGCCAGATTCGAGTATGATAGTTGTGGCGGTAGGTTGTATCAATAGACTATTTTTGTTGTTAATTTGTAAGGTTTGCAGACATCCGAAGGTCACTTGTTGCTATTCAAACTGGGGGTTATCACAGACAGCAAAGGGCTGTATTTACAGACAGACAGTCCTTATGCTAATTTGCGTCGAGATAGTGCTGAGTTATTTATTAAAGAAATCATACCCCCGCTACATTTGACCATGGTAAGTTTTTAAAATTTAATTACTGATATTATTTAGTACAATATTATTGATACAGATTGAAGAAATTATGGTGTGGGATGGTAAAATAACTGGCATTGCGTGTATAACTATGTCAGAATTTATGATATCCACAAATCAGGGCCATGTACTAAGGTATCGTTGGGATGGAACTCAACATAGGGACTATAACTTAGATTTGAGAAGAATACCTTTCTGCATAAATCAGCAAGTATCCAAAGGTAATCATGTTCTTGATATATTTTATAAACAAGTATAATTAAACAATTACATACAGCAATTCCCATTGTTGAAGAAAATACCTACATTATAAACATCGAATATTCACCATTAGTTGGAGGGTTTTCTATAGTACTAAATGACGGTAGAGCCGCATTTTTAACAGCATCATCATTAAAATTTGACCCAAATGTAAGTAAAAGAAAAAAAAGTGAGAATTCATGTCAGAAAAAAATTATTCTTACAGCAAGTGCAAGGAATATGGGCCCAAGGAATTGAAGATGCCACATGTACAGTAATGAACCATAAATACAGATTAATCACTTTTGGACGAGCAAAGTAAATCAATCATCTGCAATTTCTCGTTACATTATCTAAAGCTTATTTCAGTTCTGAGTGTGTTGTTTACTATGTTGATGAGAGCACAGGTGGCTTGGAGGTTTCACACAATTGCATACTAAGCAGTAAAGATTATCCGGGTGATCCTGGTGCAATAAGACAAGTTTTATGGACACCGGATGGGTGTGCTTTAGTTGCTGCATGGGAAAAAGGCGGTATTGCAATGTGGTCAACATTTGGATCTCTACTCATGTGTTCTTTGGGGTGGGATTATGGTTTAAATATTGATCTCCAAAAAAAGAATCCTTTACAAATAAAGTCAATGCAGTTTGCTACAGAAGGTTACCAGCTGTGGATGGTTAATGAAGAATCGTCGCCAGAAAACGATGAACCAAGTAATAATAACGTTTCTACTACAAGCCTTTTACAATTAGATTTTATGAAAAGTGCGTTAACTATAAATCCTTGTATGGTAAGGTGGTGTGTTTTTGCACTATGTGTAAGTAATGGATTGATTATAGAGCCATCAAAATCATTTATACTTGCAAGGAGAAGATAAATTGTATGTGAATTCAGCAGACACTTTGATAAAAATATTTTCTGAACGATCCACCAAGGAAGAAGGGGTTTTTGGTGAATCTGTCTCAATGACCTCAACGTTAGCGGAAGGAAGACAATGGCTTGTAATTCCAGTTCCGTCAACTTATTCTGCCACAAACTGGCCTATTAGGGTAAGTTTTTTATTTTTTTTGTCTGTTCGTATTATAAAATAAAAAAAAAACTAGATAAAAAGTCAACAATACAACAATTGGCACGTTAATCACCCTGTATATTTAAGTTTGATTCTTGTTCAATTTCTTGTTTTCTCGTGATTGCAAAATCACGGTATCGCTCATTTCTTAAAATAACCTGAGTGGGTTTCACCTCGAAAAGGGAGGGAGTGCGCAGAACACAGTTTTGGTTTGGTCTGACAAATATCGAGAAAGCAGTGGCAGCGGCGATGAAAATTTAAAAACATGCTGGGTGTAATCTCAGGGGTATTAAAAATATTTTTACTTTGAAATATTAAAATTTTGCTGGCGTTAATAAAAATATCAGTTTTATATTTTATTAGAGTTGACGTTACAGAAAGTGAATAAAACAATTATTATGTATAAATAAACGTGTGTTGCATTACTGAATGTTGAACAAAAATGTGGTCTAGGGTTACTTATGCTATTGTTTAAATATATTATACTTGGACAACCTAATACAAATTTTACTGCGCTTGAATAGGGAGCTTTGAGACAAGGAATCCAGGGGGCGTGGGACATTAGCTGTGTGCAGTGTTGCCAATCTTACTTTTATAAAATTACGTTTTTTTCGTAATCTATAGTCTTTGCCATTTCTATTGAAACACCACTTGTTGATCGTAAATTTGGCAACGTTCATATTCACACAATTTTTTAACTAAAAGCCGTTGTCAATCAACCGAAAACTGTTAGCAATTGCTAAATTTTAGGCAAAATCAACAGGTGGTGTTTCAATAGAAATGGTAAAGACTATACATCATAAAGAATTTTTTTATTATTTTTTTGGGATTTCCGAACCCTCCGTATATAACGTACTGAAGAGTTAATCTGCCATTTTCCAGACACTCGGTATTTCGAAAACAAAATAAAATAAAATAAAGAAATAAAGATATAAATAAATAAAAAATGTGCAGTTTATAAACTTCAGAATTTTAGTTTAAAAATCATGTTTGAAGCTTTATTTTGTCTGTTCCATTTTATTGGGTGTACTGTTTGGATGATTTATTACTTCCTTTATGCTGGCCCTACACTCAGCGATCTGGTTTTAGGGTAGATCTTTTGTCAGAGTTCTTAATATTTTCCTCTTTAACTAATTTTTCGTAAAGCGCATTTTAAAATTTTTGCTATTGTATTCTTTACGTTTTATTTTCCTAAGGCATGAAAAAATCACCTTAGACGTCAAGATTTTTGGAAAAAAATCAACATTTTCCTATTTAAATGTTAAAAAGTAGCACGGTCCCGAACTTGTGATTTATAAATACGCTATTGAGATTTTTCGGCTTTTCGATTTCTTGATTTTTCAACTTTAGATGTCTCAATTTTTCAATATTTCAATTTTGGGCTTTTTCAATTTTTCCATTCTTCAAAATTTCGATTTCTCGATTTCTCAATTTTCCGATGTTTCAATGAAACGATTTCTCAATTTTTGTGCTCTTCAATTTTACGGTTTTTAAATTCAATTTTTCCAATTTTCACGTTTCTAGATTTTCAGTTTTCTGATTTCTGAAGTATTTTTTTATTTTTCCATTTCTCGACTTCCTAACGTTTTGATTTTTCACATCTTTAGTTCTTCAATTTTTCGATTTTTTAAGCTTACGATTTTTCGACTTTGCTTTTTTAGTTTTTCGATTTCTCAATTTTCCAATTTTTTTGATTTCTCAATTTTTTGGATATTTCTTTGAGTTGTGAGATTTTTCAATATTTCGACTTTTCGATTTTTGGATTGCTGGTTTTTTTTTGATTTCTCGATTTTTTACTTTTTGAATTTTCAATTTACTGTTAAACTTTTTTTCAATTTTTCGACTGTTTTATCCTTTTTTCAATTTTTTGATTTCTCGATTTATTGAATTCAGATGTTTCGATGTTTTGATTGTTCAGTTTCTCGATTTATCAATTTTTCCATTTTTAACTTTTCGATTTTTCGATTTTGGCCTATTTCGATTTCTTAATTTTTCGATTTTTCGACTTCTCGAATTTTCGACTCCTCGATTTTTCGATTTCTCGATGTCTCAGTTTTTGAATATTACGATGTTTTGATTTTTTACTTTTCAGTTTCTGGATTTTTCGTTGTTTCGATTTTTGAATTATCCGATTTTTGAATTTCTGGATTTGTTGATTTTTCAGTTTTTCGATTTTTCAATTTTAGATTTTTGAATTTTAATTTTTTTGATTTTTTGGTGTTTCAGTTCTTCAATATTTTTTAATTTTTCAAATTTTGATGTTTCTGAATTTTCAGTTTTCGGATTTTTCAGTTTTCCGATATATGAGTTTTGGGATTTTTTAGTATTTCGACGTTCCGAGTTCTGGATTTTTCGATTTCTCGACTTTTTACTTTTTGGATTTTCAGTTTTCCGTTTTTTAAACTTTAGATTTTTCAATTTTTTAACTGCTTCGATTTTTTTCAACTTTTCGATATTTTAACTTTTCAAGTTTAAAATTTTAGGTTTTTCGATTTCTCGAGTTCTTCTATATTTCAATTTTTCGACGTTTAGCTTTTTCAATTAACCGATTGTTCAATTTCTCGATTTTTAAATTTTATATTTACCAGTTTTTATTTTTTTGATTTTTCCATGTTTGGATTTCTCAATTTTACTATTTTCCAATTTTTTAATTTCTCAATTTTTTGGATATGCCTTTTACTAATGAGATTTTTCATAATTTCGATTTTTGGATTACTGGATTTTTTTTGATTTCTCGATTTGTTACTTTTTGGATTTCCAATTTATTTTTAAACTTTAGATTTTTAAATTTTTCGACTCTTTTATACTTCGATTTTTCAATTTTCCAACTTTTCGATGTTTTAATATTTCATTCTTTAAAATTCTAGGTTTTTCGATATCTCGAGTTCTCAGTTCTTTTATATTTTAATTTTTCAATTTTTCGAATTCTTAAATTTTCGATTTTCCAGTTTTTCATTTTTAAAATTTTTCGATTTTTCAATTTTTTGTTTTCTCGTTTTATCGAATTCCGATGTTTCGGTGTTTTGATTGTTCAATTTCTCGATTTATCAATTTTTCGATTTTCCACTTCCCGACTTTTCGACTCCTCGATTTTTTTGAATTTCACGGTGTTTCAATTTTTCGATTTTTTATTTTTTGGTTTCTCGATTTTTCGATGTTTCGATTTTGAAATTATCCGATATTTAAATTTTCCAATTTTTTAAATTTTCGAGTTTCGATTTCTCGATTCGTTGATTTTTCAGTTTTTAAATTTTAAATTTTAGGTTTTCGAATTTTTATTTGTTTGATTTTTTGATGTTTGGATTTCGCCATTTTTCAATTTTACGATATGCTAATTTTTCAATGTTTCAAATTTTAGATTTTTAGATTTAGATTTTTTGTTTTTTGTTTTCCCACATCTTCACTTCCCAAAGTTTCGATCTTTCAGCTCTTCAGTTCTTCAATTTTCCGATTTTTCAGGTTTTTGATTTTTCAATTCTTCGATTTGTTAAGTTTGCGATTTTTCGACTTTGCTTTTTTGACTTTTCGGTTTCTCAATTTTTTAATTTTCTAATTTTTGGATATTTCGTTCAATTTTGTGATTTTTCAGTTTTTCGATTCTTCAATTTTTCAGTTTTTCAATATTTGAGTCTTGGGATTTTTTAGTATTTCGACTTTTCGAGTTCTGGATTTTTTGATTTCTCGACTTTTTACTTTTTGGATTTTCAATTTTCCGTTTTTTAAACTTTGGGTTTTTCAATTTTTTAACAGTTTTATGCTTCGATTTTTGTCAACTTTTCGATATTTTAACTTTTCAATTTTTAAAATTTTATTTCTCGATTTTTCAGTTCTTCAATATTTCTATTTTTTAATTTTTCGATTTTTAAATTTTGCCATCTTGGTTTTTCGGTTTTAAAAATTTTTCGACTTTTCGATTTTTAGATTTCCCGATTTTTTAAGTTTCCGATTTCTCAATTCTTGCAACATTATCCGTTCTGGGAACTTTTCAATTTTTAGTGTTCTACTGTATTATTTTGAATTATCCGATAAATTAAAACGGCAAACATTTTATAATCGCAATAAGTAAATACGAACTTTTGTCTATTTTTGTATTATAATGATTAATATCTCATTCAACTGAGTGTCTATTCAAAAACTTGACTATACTTTTATGGGGATATCACCCTAAATTTTTATACTATTTTATATAAAGTTCGGACGTATGAATGAATCATAACCTTCTGACAGATTTTATTGTTGTATTGTGTACTATCTCGGTCGCATGAATTTTTTTTGAGTACACCATATTAATGTTTGACCATTACTTTGTTAGTATTCAGCAATAGATGCCGAAGGCCAAAACATGGCGGTTGCCGGTAGAACAGGACTTGCCCATTACTCTATGCACACAAGACGTTGGAAGCTCTTTGGTAATGAAACTCAGGAGAAAGACTTCATTGTCCTCGGAGGTTTGCTATGGTGGCGAGATTTTATAGTAATGGGTTGCTATAGCATTCTTGAAAACGCCGACGAAGTCCGTTTTTACCCCAGAGATTCAAAATTAGACAATAAGTTTGCCAAAATAGTTCCCGTTTCATCACCCGTTCTTCTGATGAATATACTTCAAGATCAACTAATTATTTTTGGTTCGGATGGACATGTGTCGATTTGGGTCCTCAAATATAGCTCTACAGGTTTTATTAGTTAGATTTAGTTAGACTAAACGTGTTAATTTGAAAAAATTGTAGTTGGAATTATGGAAGTTTTCAAAGTACAAACGATAGACATATCGGCTCTAGCTGTCCATCCTGCGTGTATAGTTTCAATAACACTGACATCGCTAAGGACCGAGACTGGTCGGGGGCAGCATCATAATTCCGAAAGTATAGTTTTAAATGTCAGTGGACGACTCCTTATGGTACAAAGAGAGGTTAGAAACGGGGAGCGATACACGTGTTCTATGCCTACCGTTCTCGCGAGTTGCGTCGAAAATGTGTGGGTTCCGAGTAGGAGGCGAGTCGAAAAGGTATTGTTTTTCTTACGTAAGTAATTTTTATTTTTATACAAGTTTTGTAGGCACATTTAACGGAAGCTTTGTGGTTGTTTTGTGGAGCTCATGGTATGAGAGTTTGGTTGCCGTTATATCCGAAAGATGGGGATAAAACGCATACTTTTATGTCAAAGAGAATTATGTTACCATTTCATCTTAAAATATATCCCCTAGGTAAATTTGTATGTGTTACAAACAATTAATTAATTTGGTTGTTTTTGTAGCAATTCTTTTTGAGGATGCTATTATACTGGGTGCTGAAAATGATACCATTCTGTATACATCTGACACAAATTCTCCATTTTCACTACCTTTCAGTGTTTTGCAACGTACTGTAAGTTTGATTTAAATTATTTATTGTAGAAATTTAATGATTTAATGGTTACAGAGTCAAGTGTACCTACATCAAATATTACGTCAATTGATTAGAAGAAACCTTGGGTATCACGCTTGGGAAATTGCGCGAAGTTGTATGAGCTTGCCCTATTTTCCTCATTCTTTGGAGCTTCTGTTGCATGAGGTGAATTTAAATATTGTAAATTTCTTTTGTTATGTTGGTTTTGCAGGTTTTGGAAGAGGAAGCAACCAGTAAAGAACCCATTCCGGACGCTCAGTTACCTAGTGTAATCGAATTTATAATGGAATTTCCCGTTTATTTACAAACCGTTGTGCAATGTGCTAGAAAGACTGAAATTGCACTTTGGCCGTATTTATTCTCAGCGGCCGGTAAACCAAAAGATCTTTTTCAAGAGTGCATGGCAAAAAGACAACTTGATACAGCAGCGTCCTACCTCATTATATTACAAAATTTGGAAACGTCTTCTGTTAGTAGACAGTACGCCACTTTATTATTAAATACAGCATTAGATCAGTCTAAGTGGGAACTCGCTAAAGACTTAGTTCGGTTTCTTAGGGCAATAGGTAAAACCCATCACAATTCGTCAACATCCGTTTTACTCTTTTTTTTTTGTTAGATCCAAATGACGTTGAATCTCCTCGTACTTCGTTTATCTTACCTCCGAAATTAGGCTTATCCCAACAGACTCCACCGGTTAGTCCAAATGCAGATGATCTCTCTTTAATACTAGGCAACGTGCAAGGACCGCGGGTTCGAAGTTACAGTACAACGATATCACCGAAACTAGTTGAAAATAGAACAAGCAATACCACAAGTAGTAACAATAACAACTTCGTTGAGTCGCCCCACTCTGGAAGAAAAAAATCTGTGCCGAGTACGGTCGGTTTGAGCAAAAACGAAACTCGAGGTTCATCAGGCAATACAGCTGAAGAATTTTTTATTGACGTTATCTTACAAAAACACGCGAGAAGATTATTGTCCACGCGTCGTTTAACCGATTTAGGATACTTTGCAGCCCATTTAGATTTCCACTTGGTGACGTGGCTGGGAAAAGAACGCGATCGAGCTGCCAGAATAGACGATTTCGTTCAGGCTTTGAAGCATTTGCATGAAGAGTTTTTATGGCCCTATCCGACTTCGGCGACGTTTGTGGCTCAAAATATGGCGTTAGGTATTTAATATTACAATACTTTTTCTTTTTTTACTCGTGTTACTATAAATGCTTAAGGCTCTACCACACCTCAAGAAAATTTCTATTTTAAAAGATATGCAACTTGTAAAACACCCATGCTACCTCGTTATGACAGCTGCCACTCATCTCTAAGGGTTAAAATCGTTCACTTCGTTTACAATAACTAGTTTTATTACTGCTATTGTCAGCGGGGGAAGTGTATCCCGGCTTGCAGGTAGAGCAGAGTAAGGAACTAAAATATTTATCTACTATGAAAGAAAACAAACAATATTTCTTAGCTTACGTTCGAGAAGTAAAAACGCAAAAACACGTCTACTGGTATACAAAAATTGGCATTTTGTAATATTAGTTTCAAAAGTTTTGAGCGATATTTGACAGGTGTATGACGTCATCGATAATATTTTAAATAGCACCTCCTACCTTTTTTTAGCATAAAGTCCCTTGAAAGAGAATTTTTGATATGCGGTTTAACCTAATTTACTGTCATAAGAAAAGAAAAAAGCCAAATGTGTGTTTTAAAATAAATTAATAAAATCATTGTCAGAGACTGTTGTGATCTTTACTCGCAATACACACAACAAAAAAATGCTTGTTCATATATATAATTCCGACCATAATTCTTCCTCTTATTTTTAAATTCCTGTTTCCATAAAAATTCTGTAAGTAGGTAGAAAAGTAAAATTAAATTTCCAAGAATATTTTATTGTAGGTACGAAGGTTCGTTATTGTGAGTATTTCTTAGTAATCTTGGAATTTTTCAACCCGAAATCTTAGAAATTTAGGTAGGTACATACCTAGTTACCTCTCGGAATGTATTTTGAATGAAGCAAATTGGTGGAAGGTTATTTCAACAGAACTTCTCTCGCCTCTGAAATACAATAAAACAAACCCAGCTTTTTCGAAAAATTATAAAATTTGATTATGCGAATTTTATTTTTTTTATGAGAACCCGGATATGTTAAAATTTTGTCCAAAAATTCTAGATGTCTAGGGTGAAAATTCTACACGGATTTACACACCACAAGTGCAGGAGTATCTAATTTTATCAAATTTAAAAAACTTTGTATTATAAATTTTGGAGATGACGTCATCCCATTGGTGGTGGAGATGATTTGCCAAATTTTAGTTAGCGTTTAACCATCTACATGATATTTCTAATATACATATAAAATGTGGCAATAATCGATCCAGTAGTTTCGGAGAACACTTGTCTAATAAAAAATGGATACAGACACCAGACAGACAGATAGACATACAGACAGACAGACAGACAGACAGACAGACAGACGGACATACGAAAACGGGAGACCACTTTTTTCGTACTCTAGAGGTCATAACACGTCGAGAAATTAGTACTGGACGTAGAATTGTTGACATAGGCCACTTATTAACAACACTGAAATCAATCAGTACTTTAGATAATATTGAAATAACTCATGAAAATTGTTATCGTTTAAAAATTGTTTTCTACTACAAATTTCATATGTACGGAATATTCGGTAATCTTTGTACTGAACCTGAAAATCATATATACAAAGTCAATTATGCAGCTATTTGTGGAGCTAGATCAACGGTCGTAGGTTATTCTCAAATTTCAGAATTTTGTTCAGCTCTAGATATCCCTCAAATACCCCAGGCGACATATCGTAAAGCCGAGGCTAGAGTTCTAAAGAGCATCGAAGTACTTTTCGAAGAACAAACCAAAACGCAGGTAAAGAAGAGTACCGATTAGCTGTGAAGGCGAGGGAGGTAGATAATGATTGCGTCCCATATACTACCGTTACAATGCACTGTCTGGGGTAGGACGTATAATTGGTGCCAGAACTAAAAAAATACTTTATGTAGGAGTCAAAAACAAACTTTGTAGTTTCTGCAAAATCTATATGAAACAGAAAAAAGAAATTCCAACACATAACTGTTTTAAAAACTAGGAGCAAACATCTATGTCCATGGAAGTTTCAGAGGGATTTGCTTTAGATACTTTATAGGAGAATTATAGGCGACGAGGATAGTAGCGTATTAAAAAAAGTTCGGGCTGCAAAACCAAATGATGCATATTATTTTATAGAAGAAATTGAATGTAGAAATCACATACTTCGTAATTATTGTTCCAAAATTAGAGAAATAGTTAAAACAACGAAAGCAGATATCGCTATTAAAAATGTTTTTAAAAATAGTATTTTAAAATTTAGAACAGCTATTATAAGTGCTATTAAATTTAGCAAAAATGAGCCTCTTCCTTCTTTTCCAGCATATATTTGGCAATCACGAACAATGTGCAAGTTATTTTTGTTATAAAAGTGGACAGTCAAATGATATTTTATTTTCTACTTTCGCAAATGGTGTTTTATACGAACCTTACAAACAAGTTTTAAATAGAATTGCAACTTTGTCGTCTAGTTTACTTTTTGATATTGAGAACAATGCTGTGGAATGCTACAATTCTGTCGTTAATAAATTTGTGGGAGGAAAAAGAATCAGTTTTTAAGTTTTTCTGCACGAGGATCGTATCAAGGGTGATGCTTTGCTGCGGCAATAAGTTATAATAATAAGGGTACGTTCCTAATTCCGTTATTCAAAAACAAAAAAAATTGGAGAGGCCAATGTTAGTATACGAAGGCGTTTGTGGAACAAAAATTGAAAAAAACAAAAACGATTAATAAAACTAAAACCTCTATTAAAAAATTGTCTGGATTCCGGTAAAAATAATATCGTCAACGATGAACAAACGAAAACGAAGTGTATGAAAGAAAAAAATCGGATTTATTAATAAAGCTGTCACAGAGTAACGTAAACGCTATTGAAAAAGGTACTTGTGGTCAGCGAATGTGTAGGGAATGGAGTAAAGAAAGGACAAAATGAGAGACGGAATTAACATCGCAAATACCGTTAAAAATATTGTGCATTCCGATAAAACTTTATGAAAAAATTGCCCAAGTCTATACAATTTGCTATTGACAATGAAGAAAAGGCCAAAGAAAAATTTGAAGCTCTAACAAATTTGAAAAAAATTTTTAGGAGCTTCTCCAGATGGGTTAATAAATTCTAATTCAATTGCAGAGATTAAATGTTCATATGCGGCTTGCAGTAAAAATATTAAAGAGCTATTAAAAATAAAATCATTAATTTATTGTTCAATAAATCCAGTTATTACAATTACCTAGTTTCAACCCGAACCACAACTATAGGTATGCATCAGGTATAACAGGGTCCAGTGCATATAACTAAAAGAAAATGGTGTTATTTTATCATCTACACTAACGTAGATTTAGAATATTTTTTGATTGAAAGAGATGATGACTTCTGGAATAAACATATGGTAAATGCATTAGAAAATTTTTATTTAAATGCCATGCTACCAGAAATTGTTGACTCGTGGTGGAGTCGAAATCAGCAACTCCGAAATATATATATTGAAAAAAGATTTATAGACAAATGTTAAGTTTTTTTTGGCAATAAGTGTAAAATGTTGAATTTTATGCTTTGAAGGGGTCTTTGCTTTTTTGTTATTATTTTTTTTTTTATTAATATGATTTTATTGATGATGATAGTTTCCTGTGATTGTTTAATATTTAAATGCAGTGTATAGAGGCAGGGATGTCAGCACTCTGTTTACCAAACTCACAAAACGCAATGCGATTAAACCTTTTTGCTATCTATAAATTTCTGCTTGAAAATTCTTTGGTATCATAAAATCTATCTCTCCCTTTCGTACTGTCGGAGCCAACGTACCTATATTCAATATTCGGGGCCGGATTAAAAAACCGACTGCGTCAGCCAGTTTGTATGTACCCGTTTCCATTTGTGCAGTATAAGTACTCCTCTCTTAGGAATTGTAGTAATTTATAGCTGCAGTTTTATTTGCTTTACTGCACATATGTATTGTCATATTGCTTAATTATGGAATATTGTCATAGACATATCCTACATCCCTAATATAGCTTGAATGTATTCCAATAATAAAATTCCATTTATCATTCATTTAATTAAAAGGGGGAATCAAATCAAAACAACAACGTAGAAATGTCATCATATTTCTGTAAAAATTTTACTCGCCTATATCCTTCTTAATGCTATTGTCAGGTACTTCAAAGGGTGGTCAAATAAGCTTAAGGTATTTAAAAGGTGCTCTATTGTGTGGGCCATAAAGTACAGCTTACCGCCTCAGCTAATATTTTGGGTTGCCTAACTTACCAAAATTTGCCCAAAATGCTTGCAGTTTTTTTACAATAACTAAAAGAAGTAAAATTTTAACAGAAAACGAAGAATGGCGCCTAAAGTAGAAAAAAATTCTCTATCACCTCGATATTTTTTAAAAGCACACCGAGTTATAGTTTTCGCTAAAAATCCGCTGGGGTTTTACGCACTTTATTTTTTATTTTAAAAACTGCTACGTTTTTAAAAAAATACAAGACTCTTCCTTAAAGATTTTTATGTCATGAGCACGCACACGTATCGCCCTTCTCTTCAACTGTTAAAATAAAGGCGCAAAATGGGTTGGCGTTTTGCCTTATTTTGGCATCTTTTAATGACCGTGTGGCGGAGCCTTAAAGATTATGAATTAATAGATGGCGAATTTTAAAAATGATTTTCAAGCATGCTGCTTATTGACGGATAACTTGGCAAAATTGCATTATTTTGTATTTGCATTAAACACTCTATGGCTCATTTGTTCGTTGTTCAGCAGATAGTTCTCATCCCAATGTTGAGGACCGTTTGAAATTACTAAAGATCGACGTAAATTACCAAACTACGTCGAGTCGTGTTGGCGATAGTGGCTATATGAGTTTCCAAGGTTTACCATGTACAGGTTTAGTCACGCCAATAAACACGTTGGATTCGTCGAGTCAGATGGCCGAAACGGAGCTCGGAGAACTGTCTCAAAGTGACGTCGAAAGTCGCACTAATAAAATCGACGACAAGTGTGATTTTGCAAGAAACTCTTCATTTTATGATAAAAGAATCGATTTATATGGCGACTGTAAAAACGAAGTTTGCGATAAAATACTGGAGGCGCAATCAAGAGGTAGAGTGGATGACACTGGAATGAGTGCAGTTAGTTCCGTTTGGGATGACGATAGGGATGTAATGGGGAACGCAAGCACTGAGAACTGGGAAGTACCGTCGTCGCAAATTTTAGAACAGTTGAACAATTCTGACAATAAAGGGTCGCATCGCTCGGAAGTTCAGCTCAGGTTTGCATAAAATCATGAACGATTTGTACACTTACTGTTGTGAATTGTTTTTAGATATCTGCTACAGCTGTTTATGGAAGCCAGCTGTTTGGAATGGTCTCTTATAATTTCGGTTTTATTGAGAGATGCTATGGCTGTTTTAAGAACCGTAAATGCTGCCAAATCTCCAGATCAGTCAATTGAAGCAGTGTCCAGACTGCGCCAGGGGTTATTACTTATGCAATACTGGACGAACACAGAATGGTAAGAATTTATTTTGATTAATTATACTGGACTGAGTTTAGTTTTGTCTACACGATGCCAACGTGGTTGGCGAAACGCGTCGGCAATTTAATCAATCTATTATTATTTTTATTATTATTGTAAAAAATATTCTACAGGGCGGGCCCTAATTACAGAATATTACAAAAAAATGTATGTTTATACAGTTATATAAATATAAGTGTAAATAAGTAAACAAAATTATAAACATTAAATTTTGATAAAATCCAGATATTTGACACAATTAAGAGATTTGTTTCTATTTCATAAATTCAATAAGATCAATTAAAGAAACAGCTTTGCCTGTAATGTAAATAGATCCTGCCACATTTATAAAATGCGGGACATTAAAATCCCCAACAATAATTACATCACGATCGAGAATTAATTCAAATGATGAGAAAGCGTCAAAAACAGACCGAAAGTAATCAATTGAGAGAGATGGCGGAAAGTAAACGACAAACATTGTAACAGTAATAACTGAGTCAACTGACACTTTAACAGCCAAGACATCAACCAAATGAAGAGTATTAAAAGGAGAATGGTCTAAATTAATTTTAATGGAGATAAATGAATCTTTTACGGTTTTACGGTATCTTTGATAGTTTCCTTAATTCTTTGAATGCAGAAGACATTTTCTTGGAATTTTACAATTAAACAAAAAACGAAATTTTATTAATATAAAAAAATTGTCTTAAGTTTCTTTAGACCTCACGAAGTACATTCCAATAAATACATCTTCAAAAAATTATAAAATTTAATTTTGTGATTTTATTTTTTATGGTAACCCCTATAAGTTAAAATGAATCTATGTGCAGACTGTTAAGTGTACAATACTAACAGTAGTAGTGTTGCATTTTCAAATTTTCGGGAAAATAAGATAAACTGTTCTTGATTTGATTAATAAACTCTGTGAAGCTGGTCTGCTACCACAACACCACGGGTGTGTGTAATTGATGTTCATATAATGTATCCAAAGAACAATACGAATTAAACAAGAAAAATAACAATAATAAACAAAATCAGGATCACAGTTGACAGATGACGTCATTAATTTTTTTTTAATTTTGATTAAAGATTTACATGTTTAAGATGACTTTACAACGCTTCCAAGATTTCAGAGCATTTGTTTTTTGCAAACTGAAAAGTTAATGAAAGTGTCATATTTTTTGTAATATTTTTATTGAGATTCAGTAAATGAAAGAACAAATAAATAACTGCATACAAAGAATAATACAAAAATTCGTCGAAAATATCCAGCATTCTCGAGTTGAATTTTTTCTTTCCCCAATTTTGCGATGACCTCATTAGCATTTTTCCAAGGACACATATATCAACTTGGATTTGTGCAGTATAATAACAAAAATAACAGTATTGTACTCCCAAAATTTTCTGGGAAAATGGGGTGAACCGTTCCTGATTTAATCAATAAAATAAATTGACTCATTCATTAATTTTTTTGAGCCAACTGTTTAAGCAAATCTGAATAATCAGAAAACAGAAAACACAGCCTCACGCATACACAGTTTTTTTCGCCGCCCTCGTCCTCTCCAGCTTCCCCACACTGTTATGTCTACTAGGTTGTTTATTTAGTATTTTGCCTGAACGTGCGAAGCCGCCGATAAAGAAATGACACGGTCAGTAGCGTAACTGAATATACACGCGCCCCTCCCAAAGTTAAAGTTGTACTCCCCCTTATATATAATAATAATGAAGTAATTATTATTATATTAATAACTACGTGCCAAAATAATACTCATTATAGCTTAATTGATAAAAATTGGTCTAAAGAGTTTAGACAGTACTTCCCTCGTCGGGAACGTCACGACTGCAAACCTATTATGTCTTTTTTCGTATTACCTTTCTGTAATTTTTGATTTAATCAATAAAATTAATTGACTCAGTCATTAATTTTTTTCAGACACCTTGTATAAGCAAATCTAAAAAATATTAATGCAGTGAGAGTATAGACTCATCATTCTTTATACATTTAAGCATTTTTCAGCAAAATTTTGCAGTGGCGTCATCAAATTTTTAGGGGGGATGAGCAAATACATTTTGATCAAAATTATACCATGCTTATGATAAATTTAAAACATCTCCAAGATTTCAAAGCATTCGGTTTTGTAGTTCCTGATTAAATCAATAAAATAAATTCATACTTTCATTAATTTTTTTGAGTCACCCTGTATATGCAAATCCAAAAAATATAAATGGAATGATAAATCATAACAACAGACTCATCATATTTTGCACATCTAAGATAGGATTTATTCAGCAAAATTTTGAGGTGACGTCATCAGTTTTTTAGGGGGGCATGAGCAAAAACATTTTGACTATAAATTTATTATGCCTATGATAACTTTAAAACATGTCCAAGATTTCAAAGCATTCGGTTTTGTAGTTCCTGATTAAATCAATAAAATAAATTCACGCATTCATTAATTTTTTGAGTCACCTTGTATATGCAAATCCAAAAAATATGAATGGAGTGATAAATCACAAGTATAGTCTCATCATATTTTGCACATTTAAGATAGGATTTATTCAGCAAAATTTAGGGGTGACGTCATCATTTTTTTAGGCGAGGATGAGCAAATACATTTTGACTATAAATTTATCATGCCTATGATAACTTTAAAATATCTCCAAGATTTCAAAGCATTCGGTTTTGTAGTTCCTGATTAAGGGCCGGTTTATCAATGCGCAGTTAAGTTAAAGTAACTGGCAGTTAAAGCTTGTCTGTGAGTTAACCTGTTTATCATTACCCGCTAGCTCAAAACTGGTGGTCAAAGTGCCTGATAAATTAACTGACAGTTCAAACTGTCAGTTAAAACGTTATCCACCAGTTAGTGGCAACATAACCTAACAAATCCAAATAAATCTGTTATGAATTTAACAATATTTTGATGAGGACTTATGTTGTGCAACAAATTGACAGAGAAAAGATGAGAAAAACACTTATTATTAGCTGATTATTTTCCAGGTCTAATGTGGGTACCAAAAACTCAAAACCTATCTAATAATACCGCAAGATCGAAAAAGAAATTAATCGAAGTAGGCCATGCACGACAAACCGTTTGTCGTAATCACGGTGGTAGGGTAATTTAATTTTTTTTATTAAATGTCAAATTGACAGTTTAAAATTAGAATTATGACGCCTACTTTTAAAACACATAAGAACGAATTAAAATCACCGTTTTCCAATTTTGTCTAGAATTTATCCCATTTCTGAAGATTCTAATAACAAAAAAGCTTTAATTTCGTTTGATAACAGTGCAAATTACTTTTGTCAACATGACGGTTAATCAAAAATTATTTTAAACTAAAAGACAAAAGCCTTTTTGTGCATGGCCAACTTTGACTAATTTCTTTTTCGATCTCTCTGTATTTATTTATAGGTGTACCTACTTGTTTCATTTTTAATTTCCAATACTTTTTTTCTAATGTTAAATTTTGCTTTTTCATGATTGATCACGTGAAACGCGATATACAATCGTTGAATACCGAATGCGGATCGAATCTGATGGAACTTTCAAGGTCGGGGTAGTTTTAAACTGACCAATCACAACTCATTTCCAGTGGGGTGAGCGTTACCAACTTAAGAGAGTAACAGCTAAACTTCGAGCTACGAAACTGGAAGAAAGATCGTGCATTGATAAACATTTTACCTCCGTTAACTGATAGTTACCCTTATCTGACAGTTACTTAACAGACACTTTTAACTGAGCATTGATAAACCGGCCCTAAATCAATAAAATAAATTCACGCATTCATTAATTTTTTTGAGTCACCCTGTATATGCAAATCCAAGAAATATGAATGGAATGATAAATCACAACTCATCATATTTTGTACATTTTAGATAGGATTTATTCGGCAAACTTTTGAGCTGACGTCATCAATTTTTTGGAGGGGATAAGTAAATATATTTTGATTAAAAATTTATCATGCTTGTCATAATTGTAAACCATCTGCAACATTTCAAAGCATTCTGGTTAGCAGATTAAAAATTAAATTTCAAAATGTTGTTTTATAATTTTGATTTTTTTTCCAAAAATCTGGACGTTTCGGGTAAAAACTCAATTCGGAGTCATAAACTACATGTGTAGGACTATGTTATTTTATACAATTTAAAACCCATTTACTATGTACAATTTTGAAGTGACGTCATCGCATTAGTGGTGGGATGATTAGACAAATTTTGGTTAGCGTTTTACCATCTACATGATATTCCTAATATAAATACAAGATTTCGCAATAATCGGTCCAGTACTTTCGGAGATTATCTGTCTAATAAAAATCCGGGACGGCAGACAGACGGAAACGGGAGACCTATTTCTTCGTCGTCTAGGGCTCATGAAAGGCCGAGAAAACGTAAAAGTAGAGAGTTTTCAGCAAACAAAATCAGTCGCGGTTCATTTTATTTTAAAAATTATTCGTAAGCCTCAATTGAACAAAATATTTTGAATGTTATTGTTATAATTCTTACATTATCATTATTGTATTTTATTGTTATAAAGACGAGCGTATTCTCACATTTTCGAGAAAATAGGGTGGCTCGTTCTTAATTTGATCAATAATAAATTGACTGATTCATTAATTTTTTTTTAGTCATCCTGTATGAGCAAATCTAAAAAATACGAATACAGTGATAAGTTACAAGTATAGTCTGATCATATTTTACACATTTTCGGAAGAATTTATTCGGCAAAATTTTGAGATGCCGTAATCAATTTTTGAGGGTTGATAAACATATACATTTTGATTAAAAAGTTACCATGCTTACAATAACTTCACAACGTCAATATTTCAAAGTACATATTCAGTTTTGCAATTCATGATTTAAACAATAAAATAAATTGACTTAGTCATTAATTTTTTTCAGACATCCCGTATACTCAAATCAAAAAAATATTAATGCAGTGATAAATCACAAGACTGATCATATTTTGTACATTTTAGATAGGATTTGTTCAGCA